GTTTCCAGACTCATTTCGCCATTAACACGAAAGAATAAAAAACAAAGCCATGTGTCCTTGTTACTCCATGTAAGAAATTATTGGGGGATTCAAATATAAAATGTAATTCCCTTTTGATATCATTATTTCCCCCCAATATTAGGCTATGAGACAGTTTTTTTAATGAAGTGCAGTAATGAGAGGGCTCAACTGACCTAGCTCATGGAGGTCTGAAAACCACAAAACTTCCCAGTTGTCTTGACATTGGGGATGGTTATTAACCTTTCATCTAACCTTCTCTAGCAGTGGGAAATCTCTAGATAGAGTAGCTTTTTCATTAGTAGAGACATCCTGAGTGCCTTTAAGACTTTCTATCTCTTGTCCTTTTTCCTGAGTTTTAAAAATAGCTGTTTTCAGAGACAATGGTGGGGCCCTGTTTCTTTATATTTTACAGGCCAGAGTTTCAAACTGTAAGCAAATTCCCTCTTGTTCCAGTGCTTAAAATGTTTTTTTTTAAAAAAAAAAACATGCCTTTTTAGGGAATACATGTAAAATATGGATATTTTGATTTCACAAATTGATCATTCCACCTTCTCTATTGGTATTTTTCCTTGCTCGTCGTTTTGTTTAAAAAAATCAGTAAATGTTCAACAAGAACCTTCTTAAATTAGGATCAACTAAAATTAGGGAGCATAATTGTAAAATGCTCCAGAGATAGTACCTTACCCTGATACAGTTAAATCAAATAAATAATGCTATTACTTGTAAATATTGGAAGGAGTACATGATAATTGGTTCATATTTTCACATGTGGTGGTCATCTACCTTTTGGGAAATTATATTTAGAGAAATTTGTGAAAGTACAACTCAGAAGATTAATTTATGCCCAACAAAAGGCTTGCTATCCTGGTTTCTTAATGAAAATTCAAGTTTGCGGCATAAATCTCATATAACCATTCTTTGCCAATCAGCTAAAATGGTAATTGCCTTTCACTGAAAAGCTTTGTCTAACATATCATTGTCAACTTAGTATACTAATTCTTGGCAAGTGCTCTTAATGGATAAACTAACCAAGCAGATGCATTCTCTTAAAGAAGGGAAATTATACATCTCATTTTTATGAAATATGGTACCGGCTTATCAGTTATATAAACAGTAACATGAATGCTCCAGCTTTTCCAAATCCTCATGCAGATCTCTAGAAAATGTGTTTAATTTATCATTTACTGAGCTGTTCTATCTTAACATTACCTCAGCTTTATTACCACACATCCTTCCTTGCTTTATGTTGTTTCTGTGTGTTTTTCATTCTATACATGGTTCTTAACTAATATTTGTTGTATAATAAAATTTTAAAAAATTAATATGGGGTGGCCTGGTGCTGTGGGGGGAAACAAAGCCTTAGCTATCCTTCTGCAATATCAAAATAGCTACAGAAGGCAGATTTGGTATAAATGTTTTGTAGGTTGGGTGGGAGAATGAAGGGAGTTATTCTGGCTATAGCTTTGATGTCACCAGTTGAAAGCCAAAATCCTCTTGTGTAGATATACTGTACAAGTGATACAAATTTTGTAGAATTGCCCCAAGTTAAGAACTGAGCATAGACATTATCAGTTGCATTTTGAGTCACACACCTGATAATGTCCTCAGTGATTTTGTAACTTAGGGAAATATCCTCTAAAATTTACACTGTTTTTGCTATGCCAGCATAAATAGGTAAGAGGATTTGGGCAGCAAAGTAATTGTTCTTGTTCTTGTTCGCTTCAAATAAAGGTTGGATGACATTGTGGCTATACTGACTTTGGATACAACTGTAAATGGTGTTGTTGTGATACATCCAAATCAGCTTCCAAGGGTCCACGAATTAGTTATACCTATTTAAGTGTAATTAATTCCTATTCCCATTAGTTATAAATGTAACTAGCTTTACCAGTCTCAGGGGATTGCTGTATTTCCTCAAGTCTCTAGGACTGAGCAAGATTGGAGCAAGGGAAAGGTTGATTTTGTGTACGATGTGGCTTTACAGCCTAATCCAGCTTCAGCTAGTGTCAGGATTTATTAGCTTTGCACAAAGGTAAGATTGCCGGATCTCAGCTCACAGGCTGAAGTCTCAGGGAGATGCTGTGTTTCTCCTAGACTGTGGACAAAGACTGTAAGTAACCTCAGAGCAACTGGTGCTAGAGGATGAGACACTGCTTTCCCGTGTTCCTTTTCTGTGGCTATTGTGGCCCCACATTAAAAAAAAAGACTTAAGTTGTTTTTAGGTTGGGCTTGGGTTATTCCCCTCTCTCTTAAGCAATTAAATTTCCTTTATTGTCCAGAGCCGTCTTCCATCTCTTGCCTACTTAGATTATTGAGACTGCCTTTCTCCTTATTGGGTCTGCTAATTTCCTTTCTCCTGGTCTCATTGGTTAGGAACATTTTGTACATCAGAGAATCACACTGCTAGGCTTCTCTGATGTCATTGCTGCTGTGGCTCTTCTCAGTGACTTGAGAAAATTAGCCTTGGGGATTTTTGATGAATTAGGAATCATTTTGGTTACCAGGGAATGGACAATAAGTTTATGAAATGTCACGTAATGAAATGGAAAATAATTCTTAAAAGTTGTCTACTTTGTTTATTAGTCTCATATTTAAGTATGTTTGGGGATGGGGTTTATTATAAATTTGAATTATTTTAATTGAGAGTAAAATATTTAAGGTGTTTTAAAATGGATTATAAAATTAAAATATTTATTTATTTATGTATTGTATTTTTCTGTGTATAAGATGCCCCCATGTATAAGACACCCCCCACTTTTCTAACAAAAAATTAAGAAATCTAAATGGGGTTTAGCAAGTCAAGAGGTAAAGAGATCAAAACAATCCTGCAGCTGCATGGTTGCTTTGATCCCTTTCCCCCTCGTGCAGTCGCGGGATTGCTTTGATCCCATTCTCCCTCCAATTGCTAAACCGCACAGAGGCTGGATTGCTTTGATCCCTTTCCCCTTCCACTTATTTTTGTTCTCTCCTCAGCTTACTTCCGTTTATAAGACGACCCTCAATTTTTAGTCTAAATATTTTAGGCAAAAGTATCATCTTATACACTGAAAAATACGGTATTTATTTATTTGTTATGGAAAAGAAAAAATGTATATAAATCAGATTCCTTTGTACTGTGTGGTTCCCTTAGTGATGCCAGTGCGAGAGTACATAGCTCATGATGCCAACCTAACTGCCGTCCCCTACTTTAAGTGCTGCCTTGAGCTCTGTTGTGCTTGTTGAGAAAAAGAACAGTGGCTTTTATCTTTTAGATGTGAGTTTTTTAAAGCATCCAAAACTTCTCTTGTTTGTAGTAAAGGAGAAGCAGAGTTACTTTTAAAATTGTAACCATCATGGTACCTTGCTAATTTTCAGGAGTGCTTAGGACAATGCCCGTCATTTGTACTTTTTAAAAGTAACCTTTTCATCTATGAGACCCTGACCTATCCTGGTCTTCTTCACATTTAGGCCCTTATTGTGTTACTCTACATGAAACTGCTGGATAGCTCAGTGGTTTAGGTATCTGGCTGCAGAGCCGGATGTTGGGAGTTCTGGACCCTATGGATCAAGTCCAGCCCACTGTGTCAGCTTGACAGGGGCTGGAATCAATTATCCATAGGGTCCCTTCCAGCTCTGCAGTTCAATGATGGTGGTGGTAGTGATGATGATGATGATGAAGGCTGTCAGTCAGGAAATGGCCATTCATATATAGTTTAGATGAGGGTCTGCCAACACAGCACTGTCCATTAGAACTATTTGTTTCAGAGGGAGACAGAAACTCTTAATTTTGTGAGTGATGATTGGTTTGCTACATTAGGATAACCTTTTGGAGACAAAGAAATTGGCATAAGGATCAGCCCTACCTGTCTGTCCTGTAAAATCATACACAGAATATCTAACAACATCATAAACCCCAGAAGCTACATTTAAAGTTATGTAATAAAATCAGATGAATGAATAAGAGAATCAACAGTCAAATAATAGAAATGCTTCATCAAGAAGCCTTAAATGTTTAAGTTGAAGATACAGTGAAGGAGTCCTATTATTTTGTTTGTTACTAAAGGAAAAATAGCTTTATTTTAAAAAAATTCTTCTATTTTTGACCATCACATGAGCTCAGGAACATATTTGGTTCTTTCAAATCTGTGACTTCAGCAAGAGAAACAGTGCAGAGATCTCAATGGCAGAGGGGAGCCGAAGTGCATGGCCAGGCCTGTCTAGATTAGACTACTTTAATGCATGAGACTTGTGAAGTCAACATGGGTTTAAGTGTCAGTGGATTGGTTCAATGAATTTACTCTAGTTGGGGCAAGGGTTAACTAAAGAAAACTTTAACTATAACAAACAGTAAAACTGGTGTGGTTGGAACCTTCAGCATGCCCCAAGCTTATCAGCAAATGTGTGGATTGAGGTCCAAAGTCAGCCTAGAGAGATCAGGAGGTCACAGGTATCAAATATAATATGAACATATGGCAAAACTGGATATATCTAAAGCCACATTCATATATCCCATGTTATAAGCATTTATTACACTGCTATAATTATTGCCCTGGCTTGTTAGCCTGGAGAGTGCATCAGGTCCGCACAAAAATTCCTGGCTCCTCCATCCCTATTCTACTAGCTGGCCTTGGTGCTTTAGCCTTGGATTGTTCATTGTGGGGACCTCTCTTCCACACAGATGCCTGTGCATCAAAAGAGGAGGCAAGGGGCAGCCCAGAGGCCCAATTTTCTGTGTTTTGTGCATAACTGTTTGGCTGTTTTCTTGCACTAATCCTTTGTGAAATTAAGATGCCAGGAGTGTAGTGAACTATCAGAAACTGATGGTGTTGGTGTTTTCCTTCTCAGGAATGAACTGGAGACACTTTTCAGTCGATTCGGATTTCCCCCCCTGTTCTTTCCATGTTTTTTCTTCACAAGAAAAGAATGCTTTTTTTCCAATCTGTCTGGGCTTGTTGCTTTCCTTTCTGGTTAACTTAACTGTGCCCTTTTTTCTGTCCCAGGCACATTGTTGTCTGTGGCCACATAACATTGGAAAGCGTGTCCAACTTCCTGAAGGACTTCCTGCACAAGGACAGGGATGATGTGAACGTAGAAATCGTCTTTCTGCATAAGTAAGTAAACCCTAAAATGATGGTGATTTCCCCACACCCTCATCCCTAGAAGCAGAAACAAATTTCCATGTGAGTCTGGGCATGTGCAGATTTTGCATCTTCTATAAATCTCTATTAAAGAAGCCGTAACAAAATATTGCATATGTACCAGTGACAGTTTTCTTTTTACCATGATGTTTTGCCAAACTGCTTTTTGGATTTGGGGGGATTTAAATAGCTGTCATATCATCACAGCCACTGATTTTAAGGCCCTCTTGAAGAAAACATTGAGAATAGTAGCAATCGTGTGCTGTGGGATTTGAGCATCTATCCTAAGTATGCTGAGGGGATAATAAATCTGAGTAAAAAAGGGAGGCTACTGCAAGTTGACAGAATTTTGATAGGAATGGCGGATATTTGGTTCAGCTAAATTAGCCCACTCTCTGTGCTGCTGTCTCCACAGCAGCACAGAGAGTGGGGTAATTTATGAGGGTAGCTGCAAGCAGGTTTGGTTTTGCCACTAATTTGAAGGTGAAGCCAAGAGAATTTCTAGCATTTCAAAAACAAGAATCCCACACAACTCCAGTGTTTGTCTGACCAATCTGTAGGAAGTGGCCTGATACAATTTAGCTAATGAAGTTAAGATATTTATATGTGTCATCTGTAGGCTAAATCAAGGCAGTTGGTTTTCATGTTACAGGCATTAATTACTGATTTTTCTGTGATCTTGATAATTGTTTTTTGTGTGTGATTATTTTAGCTGTATTGAAATATAACATCATTATTATTGCCTATAGTTTTAATATTTTGTTTCTTTCTAATGTCACTGTTTACATTTTTTCCTGCACTCCAGTACTGTTTGATAGTACATCATAGATAAAGGATTTAATCCTTCTCATTTCCAAGAGGATATGTTTTATAGAGCTAAAGTTACAGACATGAGTTCAAATAGGGCTGCAAATCAGAGAATAGAAAAGAAGAAATTTAAAAAGTAGTGATATCCAGGATCTCTATGAATCCTTTTATTAAAAAACTGTTTGAGGCCTCAACTTTTCCAGGCAGTATTAAAAACCTGGAAAAGCCTTACCAGCAGTCATCCATCCATAAGCATTCTATTGCAACAAAATCTAACATTAGAACTGGCAAGTATTATGGAACAGGTGGTTTGACAAATGGACTGTTCGCAAGAGAGAGGTACAGTTTTGACCAATTCCCATCAAGTGAGAACTGTCCACTCACTTGGAGGACACCAAAGCCCTTAATGGCAAGATATGTGGCTTCTTATTCTGTCCATCAAAATTGATTAAACATATTTGTAGTTGTATGAGGTAAAATACAGTACAAATGACAAATAATTCTCTTGTTTATGAATTGTATTTATTAAAATGGATAAAGATTATTAAAAATATATAACTTGCAAAACTCATAGCATTTCAAGTTATTCCTAACTAGCTAGTGCCCATTCTTTCGAAGGGAAATAGATACTGTCATAGCAAAATGGAAATAACATATTGAATTGATCAGAGTTCTTGGTTTTTGCATAAAACAATCCTGAGATCTAAGGCTGTGACCGCAGCCTGTGTAGAGTCCCTCCTACTGTGAACTCTATGAGTAAAGTGTGTTTGTCTACTGCGTTTTCCTGGATTACTCAAATCAGCCTTTCAATGAAGTCCAAGTATAGCAAAAAGTCCCTCTGATTGTATCCATTGTGTTTCCTCTAAAATACTTTTGGGACCAATCAAGATTCAGCAAAAGTGTCCAAGCTTCCACATTGTCTTGGAAGTTAAAAAATAAATAAATTAGGATTTGGGGGAAGAAGGAACAATTTCAAATACCTATAGCAATGATGTGTTTGCATCTTTGAAAAACACTTCACTTTAAGAATAGCTAAATCATTGGGGGGAAAATAAGTACCTATCCTACTCCTTTTTAATCTTACTCGTCCAACAGCTGACCCAGAGGACAACATTCTAGCTTTTTCCGAAAGATTCCGAATGGCTCTGAACCTTAAATGAGATATAAAGGAAAGAGGAAAAAATTCAAAGCACAACCCCATTTATGGTTCCTACAAAACTACAGGAAATTGATAATCTGTTCTAAAGGAAAGAGCCAAAAAGAGAAGATTGTTCACTGATTGTGCTCTGCTTGCTTTGTCTTTTCTTTCTCACTTCAGTATCTCCCCTAACCTTGAGTTGGAAGCTCTTTTTAAACGACACTTCACTCAGGTGGAATTTTTTCAGGGTTCAGTTCTCAATCCGCATGACCTGGCTAGAGTAAAGGTAATGTGTGTCTTCCATTTTCTCTCCTACTATTTGGAGTCAACATTATAGAAAACTTACAGCTATATTACAAGTGTGAACTAATATTAACAGTTACTCTTTTTCCCCAAGAAAAAGTGGGAAGTGTAGTTTTGTGAGGAAAGCCAGAGCTCTTTATCAGAAGACGTTCATCATCCTCACCAAACTACAAAACTACAATTCTCTTGGTGCAGTGAGGGAAGTTTTTATAGTTTGAATTGATACGAAACTAATATTGGAAATAAATCTTTCAACTGATTGTCAGCAAAACCAACCTGCTAATAATGTAGACCAGCCATTCTCAACAAGGGCAGTATGGCCCCCTGGCACATTTGAAGCGGGCCACAGACTGGAAACAGTTCTTCACACACCACCTTATAAGGTTCGTTATGCAACTTATATAATAATGCTTTAATATTGTTTTCTTGGCCGTGGCCAAAATAAGGTTGAGAATGGCTGATCAAGACTGTAGACAGTTGGCTCATCATAGAAAATTAGCTCATCAGGAATAAAACTTACAAGTTGCTTTTTTTTCTATGTATGATAAGTTGTTCATTGTTCCTTAAACACAGAAGAACATTAAAATATGACCCTATTCTCATAGTTGAAAGTTCTGCAATTGAGGATTCTTGAACCTCAGTCAACAGAATTGCTCTCAAACAATAACCCCTTCCAAGCATTACTTGCACAAAGTGGATCCACACATGGAAGTGACGCTGTGCTGCTATTTTGTTTTGCTTCCGTTTGTTTTGTTATATTTATTTATTTATTTGACTTACACGTCACATCCCAGGACTGGGACCAAAGGTGTCTCATGACAAGTTTAAAACAGATACAGGTAAAAACTGATAAAAATTAGTGCAGATTTTTTAAAAAAGAGTAGTTATACTACTAAAACACAACTACGTAGGTGGTTGTAGTGTAAAACACTATTAAGTTAAAACGTTGTATTTTGACCAATTTTTAAAGAAAACACTGACCAGTGTTGTATTTTTAGGATGCTACTCACAGTAGTATCTCAGGTAGTCCCATCAAAAGTAGACCTACTGAATCATTCAAGACTAGCAATAGGTATTGGCCACAATGTTTTGCAGTCTGGCCTATCGAAATGACTTTATTTATTTATTTTCATGAGGAAAAAAATAAAACGTACAAAAATTCTAGTAATTTTTCCCCACCGGAGAAAAAACTTTTGCCATTTTTTTATTCTGACCTGTGAAAACAAAGCTACATATTACAGGGAATCATGAGACATTATTATTGTGGAATGCTTGGCTTCTTCTTGATCTCTGTGAATCATACACATGGTGGAGAATCCTTCATAGAACAGGTCCAAAACCTTCTAAAGTTGAGCAGTGCTTTTGGTGGGTGTTCTGCCTCCTTCTTACAGCTTATCCCTTCCAATTCCATCTAAATTTGTTTCATCTGCCTCAACAGTAACACATTCAGAGCATGTCACACTTGGTCTAGCAGCAAAAAGTTCAAATGTCCTCCTCTATCTTTTATTTTGTTGCATGGGTTCTGTTCACCCTTCTTGTTTTTTTATGTTTGTTTTCTTCTTTGGTGTCCAGATAGAGTCAGCAGATGCGTGCCTAATCCTTGCCAACAAATATTGCGCTGACCCAGATGCTGAAGATGCCTCTAATATTATGAGGTAATTTAGAAGAAAGTATTTGTATGCAATTCCAACTGTAAAGTTAACAAAACCATTCTGACAAATACTGGTTAAGAAAAACACACATGTATAACCAAACGTTTTATTAATCATCTTGGCAAAAGACCCCTAATGCAATATACATGTTTATTTGTTGTAGGAAAGCAAGAGTGAGCTTGCTCCCCACTGAATCCCATATATATTTGTTATTTCAAGTGAACACAGACAGACACTGTGGCTGAAATCCTGTTGCTTTAACTTAAACTGCTAAGACTGATGACATCATCAGCCTCAGTGGGTTTTTTTTTAGAAGTTAGAAATTTCTGTTTCAGTCTTCTGAAGGTCCAAGGGCTCCCTTTCTTTCATCATGAGAAAGTTGTTGGAAACCATGGGATTAGCAGAGGGAGAGTCTCTGGTTTATGAAAACTGCTGCCCACAGAATGATTTGACAGTGGTGGCAGTTTTTGGAAATTAAAGATTCATTCCCCCCCCCCCTCAAATCCCAAAACTTGCAACAGCTTTCCCATGATGAATGGGATTTCAAGGGATGTTTGGGACCTTTAGAGAGGAATCAAAAACCAGACTAACACAGTTTATTCAGCACTACTGGATTCCAGCCTCTTGTGTCACAGTGGTGCAAGTTGTGCCTATGAATCTCATTTGTCTTCTGGATTTCAGGCTTCAATCTATTGCACAATAAATTAGTGAATATATTTCCGTATTCCTAGTTGGACAGTTTCACAAAAAATTTGATCAATCATGGTTGGGTAGTAGGTCACCCAATGCATACAGTCTCCAGCTGAGATAGTTCCCTTAGTCACGGCAATTATCTCCCTGATGAAGGAGCTGGAAAACTGAGTCATGTGGTCTCCAGACACTAGGCATGGCCCAGGTTTTACAAGGTGTCTGCTGTTGTGATGCAGTGCAGCAAAATTGTGGCCCCCAAAGTGCTTCAGTCATTTGCCAAAGCCACATTTTCATCTGGTCAGAGAACTCTTGCTTTAATTTAAAATTATATACAAAGATTAAAGAATAAAAAACTAGATGCAGATTAGTAGGGATTTTAAACAGATTCCATGTGTTTAATTAAAAGTGTGCAGGAGGAGTTAATGCTTATTGAGTGAACAGAATTCTCTTGTGTACTGGCAGAACAAACAAGTTTGATTCAATAAAACTGAATGCTTAATTAAATGTTTTCAGAAAAAAAGTTTTAAAGGAGAATTAAAATGGGATAAAAATATTTGCAAATAATATCTAGCTTGCCAGAAAAAGCTATATAACTGGGTTTTTTTTTCCAAGTTCCTGCTTGATTGCAGAATATAACAGCAGTACATTTCCCCATCCCTGTCCCAGTGGTTGTCTGGATGTCTTCATCCATAATCCTGCTACTTCAAGTATTTGTTTCTTCTGTAGCAGCTACAAAGATATTTGAGTAAATGTAGTGAGGAATTTTCCTCATTACCTCCCATAGGTGCTGAAGTACACTGGATAAAACTCTTTCTCTGTTTTTCCATTTGTCTGGAAGATGGTCTCTTGTTATTTTCTGAATTGGTACAATGAGATGAATTCAAAGACAGGTCACAAGGACTTTGATTGATTGATTGATTGAAAATATTTTTATCCCACCTTTCACCTTAAAAAGAACTCAAGGTGGCTTACATCATTAAAACCAATACGTAGAAGTTAAAGACAGTAGGTATACAAATATCAAAAAAGAATTAAAACATATACATAAAAACTGTGATAAAATCAATACTAAAGCACATTTAAAACAACAGAGCACAACCATTCCTTTAGAAACCCCTCTTAGTCTACCAGTTACTAAGGGAAAGCCTGCCTGAGCAGAAAAGTATTTTGCCTGCTTGCAGAAGGAAAGCAATCATGGGGCCAGGCTAGCTTCCCATGGGAGGGAGTTCCAGAGTCTGGGAGCAGCGACAGAGAAGGCTCTCTCCCATGTTCCCACCAAGCGCACCTGTGAGGGTGGTGGGACTGAGAGAAAGGATTCCCCTGATGATATTAAAGCCCGGGCAGGCTCATAGAGGGAGATGCCGTCCTGGCTGCTGCATCTTGGACCCTCTGGAGTTTCTGAACACTTTTCAAAGGCAGCCCCATGAAGAACGTGTTACAGTAATCCAGTCAAGATGTAACCAGGGCATGTGTCACCGTGGTGAAACCAGCCCTCTCAAGAAACGGGCACAGCTGGGGCATGAGTTTTAACTATGCAAAGGCACTCCTGGTCACTGCCGAAACCTGGGCATCCAGGCTCAGAGTTGAATCCAGGAGCACCCCCAAATTGTGCACCTGTGTTTTCAGAGAGAAATCTCCTCCAACACAGGCTGCAACCCTGTTCCTTGATTTGCTTTTCAACTAACCAGGAGCACCTCTGTCTTGTCTGGATTCAGTTTATTTGTCCTCATCCAGTCCATTACTGACACCAGACACTGATGGGAACTGCTTTGTGTTTTCCTACTAATTTTGAGTTGTGTTGAGTCTTCTTAGTTTCTCTTCAGGAAAAGGGAGTTAGACAATGTTATTTTCATTTGTGGATAGCAAAATGTATCAGTTTGGCTTTCTCTTGAGTTTGCTTTTTTAAAATGCTTTCTGGCAGAAATACGTGGTTTGTGAACATCGGTAAATCCTTCACTCCTCCTCCCCCACATTAGTTGAAAATTTTAGATTAGGCATCCTTCTCAAGAGACTATGGTAACATGTTCTGTATGGAAGACTTGGAACAGCGTCTACTGTGGCTGAGAAGGCCAATTTGAGAGTGACAATCCCTTCCACACTGAAGACAAATACAATCTGTCCCCTGTCCAGCTCCCTGATTTTGCTGGTTTTGTGACTGCCTCTTTGCCTTGGCCTGCTGGAGAAGTATCTCCTCAAAATGGGAGAGGCCATGCTGCACCGCCTGCCTCCAGGCTGAACGCTCATATGTCAAAGTTTCCCAACTGTTGAGATCCATTCCTAAGACCTTCAGATCCCACTTGCAGATATCCTTGTATCACAGCTTGGTCTCCCTCTGGAGTGCTTTCCCTGCACTAATTCTCCATATAGGAGAACTTTTGGAATCCAGCCATTGGCCGTTCCCACGCCATACCCAAGCCAACGTAGGCGTTGCTGTTTCAGTAGTGTATACATGCTAAAAATTCCAGTTCATTCTAGGACTACACTATTTGGAACTTTGTCCTGCCAGGTGATACCAAAAGGTGTCAGAGACAACACATATGGAACGTGTTCAGCTTCCTCTCCTGCCGTGCACAAATGTTGAGGTCCATTCCTAAGGCCTTCAGATCCCAATTGCAGATATCCTTGTATCACAGCTTGGTCTCCCTCTGGGGCACTTTCCCTGTACTAATTCTCCATATAGGAGAACTTTTGGACTCCAGCCATTGGCCGTTCTCACACCATGCCCAAGCCAACGTAGGTGTCATTGTTTCAGTAATGTATACATGCTAAAAATTCCAGCTCATTCTAGGTCTACTCTATTTGGAACTTTGTCCTGCCAGGTGATACCAAAAATGTGTCAGAGACAACACATATGGAACATGTTCAGCTTCCTCTCCTGCCATGCACAAAGGGTCCACCACTCACTGTAGTACAGGAATGTACACAGGCTCTATAGGTCTGGATCTTGGTATATGCCATCAACTTCTTATTAAGCCATACTCTCTTTGTGAGTCTAGAGAACATGGTAGTTGCTTTGCCAATGCGTTTGTGAGTTTTCTTAGTGGTTAACCATCAATGATTTTTCTTCTTTAACAATTCAGTTTTAATGCATTAGTGCTAACACCGATGTTTCCAATTTCGCTTTAAGAAACCAGAATAGCTCTGCTGAAGTTAGATAGGTGAAAGTTTTATTGAACTGAGATTCATCCAGTGACTCATATTTGTGAAACTGTAATTATATCAAAATGACAAACATTGGTTTATTTTCTTTCTTTCTAGAGTAATTTCCATAAAGAATTATCATCCAAAAATAAGAATAATTACCCAGATGCTGCAGTATCACAACAAGGTAATGCAGAACCTGAGGGGCACTTATCTCTAAGGTTTCTGTTAAAACACATCCATCATGATTTCTCATGCCACCTCTTACATAATTTGTCTCATGTTACTCTGGTGTACAAGAATGTACGAATAAGAATAATGTCTCGTACAGTCATCTGCCAGGTGAACTGTGACCTATCAGTGTTTGCAAGGATAATTGAAGCTTGCAGTCATTTATTGTATTTACCACCATGATCTTTTGATTAATGGCAAAACTATTCTTACTGCCTAATAGAATGATACAGATTACTCCAGCAGGAGAGAATTCACCCCAAGGTGGCCTGGTGATCACTGTTTGGCTCTCTGGAATGTTATACCTTTATGCCAGGTTGATCAGTTTCCTTGGAGTAACCTGGTTGTTGGTTTTGATTCTCTCAGATATTCTATAGATTTATACCATGTTCATAAGGGAAAAAAAGGTGAGCCGTATCAAGTCGAAGTATACATTTGAAAATAATTCACAGTAAATATATTTGCAAAGGCTTTCACAGCCGGAATCTAATGGTTGTTCTGGGTTTTTCGGGCTCTTTGGCTGTGTTCAGAACATGGCCAAAGAGCCCAAAAAGCCCAGAACAACCAATTCACAGCAAGCTTTTTACTGCAGGTTATCCGTGAAAAGGTATGAAACTGCTGGGAACACGCATCCTTCTTAACTACTGGCAGTGCCAGAGTTGGGGCAGTGACTTGCCCACTTGACTTGTGGCAAAAATGGATCCACTGCAGCTGCCCTGGAAGAACAGCTTGGCCAGCTGGCCAGTACTGAGTTAGCCAAGAGCTTTTCCAGCACCAGTTAGCTGGCAACAGAAGCCCTAACACAAAAGAGACTTTCCTCCACAGCAGGGCTTGCTTGTCTAGTGAGCAGCTGGAAAGTGATTGTGGTGGCAGTCCAGGAGCACACCAACAGCAGCTGTGGTGTAGATGTGGGGGCTCTCTGACTGGCAAAGATGCTGATGCAGCCACCATATTCTCTAGACACAAGCATCCAGCCACCGGCTGGACAAGCAAGCCCTGCAGAGCAGGATGAGCTCTCTCACCCCGGCCAACTGCAAAGGAAGCCCCACAGTAGGGCTTGCATCACAGGAGGCAACTAAAATTGTTCTGCATTTCTCCCAGTTTTTACTGGACGTGTAGTTGCAGTCTGAGTCTGGCAATACAGAATTATTTATATTTATCCCCTGATGTGGATAGGGATCTGGCAGGAAGTGAGGGGGCACATGATATCCATTTGTATCTGCTGGCTGTGTCCAATGTAGAAGCTAAACTGTGTTGCAAGTGTCACTAGATAAAGGTTCTGTTAGGCACAGTTTGCATTGTTCCTCTTCCTGGGAGTGATATGCTTTCTCCTGTTTGGCAGGAAGAAAGTCAGAGATAAGGAACTGCTGTACAATTTTGTACTTTGATTTTCACAGTGTAAATTCTTCTGATACCTAGGCAGATGCCTTCTTAATCAATCCAACTTTCAGAAAAAGAAAGGTGGGAGGCAGAGGACCTATAGTAGAAGTAGGTATTATTTAGCTGCCCAGGTGATGGACTCCAGTTCCCATCATCTCTAGCCAACATGAGTAATTATTGGTAATGATGGGGAGACAACTTCTGCGGGTCAGCCACTTCCTTCTTTATAGTTCTCCAACATTTTTCTTGTGGACGGACAGCTATACTTACCACACTGAAGTTTCATCCTCCATGCCAGTTTAAAAGTACTTGGTTCAGTTAATAAAGGAAAGTCACTCTGTACATGTTCTGTGACTGTTTGAGGCATGAGAAATTTTCAGAAACGAAAAACTGGAAACTGTCCTGCTGTTGCCTTTTCATCCGTTCTGTGTTATAGCAAAATGCACAGGCAAGCACGTGGATTCTTCTTTAAAACTTGTGTTTTCCTTTGCAGGCCCATCTGCTAAATATCCCAAGTTGGAATTGGAAAGAAGGGGATGATGCAATATGCCTTGCAGAACTTAAGCTGGGCTTCATTGCCCAGAGCTGCCTGGCACCAGGCCTATCGACTATGCTGGCCAACCTCTTCTCCATGAGGTCATTTATAAAGGTAATGTCTCATCTTATTAGAGGACATTAGCATGGGATTCAATTTGTCACGGGGCTGAGTAGAGTGCATGGCCTAAACTCAAAACAGAGAGAAATACATCAACTCTGATAGCTTAAACATAAAACAACATATTCCATAGGAAAATAAAACCCATAGCCTATTACAAATTGGGCAGAGGGCCAGACTCCTTCAAAATTATATTTTTATTTTTATTTGGCACATCCATAGCCATTAGAGACTGCTCAGTGTGCATTTTAAAGAACTTTTTTTCCTTCCTTTTAGATAAACCACATGTTTATCAACATAGAAAGCCTCTCCATTTGAAAATACGATCTCTATCTAATCCATATGGCAACAAAGTGCCGAGAAAAAAAGACACATAGTTTTTCTTTCTTGGCTTTTTTTTTTCTTCTCCCATCAAGTGGCCAAGAGATCCCTCATTGCAAGAATAAATGTGGAACATGTGTTTGTACGAAAGCCTCAGCTCCAGCAGCAATAATTCATTCAATTATTTATTTTCAATCAACAAGGCCCTTGAGGTTTATGGAGAAATAAAAATAAATAATGCAGCCCAACAGTCTTCAGATATTTGGGGATAATTGTTGTGAATTGCTAGACCAAAATCTCACTTGTTCACCAAGTGTTAATTTGTTCTTATTCAGTTTCTGGTGCCTGTGTCTGGACCAAAAACCTGGGCAGATCCTTTCTAACAAATAGAATGAAAAGAAATGGGCCATAGTCAAAGAAACAAGGAAGGTGGGGTGGAAGACTTTGGTAAATGCTTCATACAGTGAACAACTGCACAGAGTCTTTATTGCAGTCTTTTTATATATGTCATAAATACCTGTTCCAGAATCCCCGGAAAAAACGAAACAAAACAAACACCAGATCTGACCATGTTGACAAAAATGCAGGAAATGCTACAGGACTGGGATAAGCTAATTTGCAGTAATTCTGTTGACCCCATGACATAAAAGCAAATGGGAATCAGCTCGGATTTCCCTCCCCATCCGTACTTTTTGCCTTTACTGCTAGAGATGTTACTTCCCCCCCCCCAATTGGATCCATTCACATTGTTTCAGGCGCTGTGATTGCTTGAACTAATAAAGAATGTTCCTTCACTCTCTGTTGTTCCTAAAAGGGCTGGATTTACAGACTTTGTTACGAATAGCGCTGCATCAAATATTTTAGGATAATAATTTTCCCACATGTGCTAGGTAAAGGGCAGGTCACAGAATTTTGAAAATGTCCTTCAGAAACATGCCATTTTGCTGTGGGCTGTTACCGTTGGCTGCCTGAGTTGCTGCACCTTGGTGCCATTAAAAACACCTAGCCTCTTTCTGTGTATGGACAACAACCAATAAGAGAAATGACGTTTTGTGTTTGGCAGTATCAAGTATAGAAAATGTACCCAATTAGGAATGAGGGCATCCAGCATAATGGGGGAGGCATAGGAGCTATGATGTTATCTATCTGAAGAAAGGGTGGGTCAAGCTGTCTCGCTGCCTGAGGCAGGCAGCAGAGTACTGCCTCCCATATTGCTCAGCTCCCTCCATATTGCATTGCACACACAATGAAACAAGTAAAACACCCACTGCCGTCCTGCACGAGACAGAGTCATTCCTTTCTTCCCATAGGATGAGGTGTCAGCGAAGGCAGCTTCCTCCTCCCCCCACCCACCCACCCACCTAGAGGAAAATGAAGGATGTTAAAAAGGGCAGTGTATTCTCCCTCCCTGTCCTCTGAAGCCCTCAGTAAAAGAGCAGGGTGCAGGAACCAAAGGTGAGAGTGAACCCACCACCACCACCACCAGCAGCTTCAAAGACATCCCCTGGAGGAGGGGCAGGTAGCACCTACGCAGCAGACTCCATACGTATCTCACAGAGCCAGGCCCTTACTTAAGAAATAACCAGCTCTGTATAAAACCAGCATCTGGCATGAGGAGTTTGTGGTGCCATTGCTTCCTCTTCCTCTTTTTCTTCAGGGTGGTATTGGCAGAGTTGCGGTAGCTGTGTCTGTTGCCTCTTCTGGGTAGCTCCCCCTCACCTTTGGCTCTTTCCTCTTCCTTCTCTCTTTCTCTTAAGGCAAGGGGTAGGTGGCAGTTATGGAAGTGGCATCGCCTTTCACTCTTGTTCTCTGAGGCTCTTGGGAGCTACTCAGAGTGGCAGTTCTGCAGAGCGGCACAGGCCATCTTGATGCAGGCAAGAAAAGAAAAGAAAACACGGCGGGGTGCAGTGGGGTAGTAATGAATATGCCACTTGCCGCCCTCAAGTGCAATGGCTTACCCATTCTAAAGGCAAGGCCGCCTCTGGTCTGAACTGCAGCCAAACATGGGACTGCATTACTGGTTCTGACTGCTGCATTTCCAACTTTTGTATCGTGCTTTTCTGGAACACAGAAGCTTTGAGACTGTGGGTAGGTAGCTTTACCTTTGAGACACTATGAGTTTTGAAACCAGAACAGGATGAGAGCAATGCTTCCAGGCCTTATTCTAGGTTTGTAGAAGTTTCAAAAAGCAAGGATGGTGAATAAAATTGCAGGCGTCAGCAACTAGGATGACCGTTGTAGTCACTAACAGAGACAGAGATGCAGGCAGCAAAAAGATTTAGCATAGAAAAGCCCATGTGGTCAACCACCTCATCCTATGCAGTGC